ATTACTTTCTATGAAGTCAGACATGTGCATGTTTGACCAAGTTTCTAGAAAAATTATATCAATATCTACAATACCAAATTTATATCATTTGATCCATCATGAAAGTCTACATATTTTATCTATTAGGTATTGGAGGTTGATATTTTCTTCTATAATCTTGGTCAAACATACAATCGTTTGACTTGCATGAAAACTGATGCACCTTATATTCTTGAATGGAGGGAGTAGTAGTTAAGCAGAGCGATACCATCATTACGAAGCTTTCATTCCTCTCCATTCATTCAAATGTATATGGTCACAACAATCCTCACCAACAATTCAGTTATTTAGCAAATACTTGTGGGTACCAACTCCAAAGTCCTGTCTAAACCCTTGATAGTACTTTGCCATTTTATCTTGACTCTTATCTATCATGAAACTTTTCTTGTTAAGGAGTTTAAATGCTTTCGCATGTCATTTTGGCCTAAAAGTAATGTTTTGATGCTCTCTAGTTGTTGGACCCGCTAAACTTACTCAATTTAAAACCCGGTCAAGATGTTTGGCCAAAATGGCGCACGCAGGGCGAAAACATTTATACTCCTTAACAAGAGAAGTATTACACAGGCCAGTTATGTTTTACTCCCTCCATTCATAAATATAAGATGTTTTGAATATTTTAATATGAACTACATACATACTAAAATAAGTGAACAAACACATTAAAATGCGTTTATATACATTAGATTTAAAAAACATCTTATATCTGTACGGAGGGAGTAACGAATTAGGTCACATGGTGTTAACACTTTCCCTATTTGTAGTAGCGGGATGACACGGCTGTTTAGACCAATTTGGTGCTTATCAGGACCTCGGTGAGAAAAGCTATATGAATATATAGCTCAACACGAGCGCACACCCCTAATTAGGGTAGCGATATTAATTTGACTAGTAAACATACATGGGCTATATGGAAACAAACTGCATGTATGCTTAGTTCAGATATTGATCAGTCGACCAAGATTATTTTGAACCTCGTACCTGTCAAGAAATTGTGAACCTCCTTAAATGGATACATATATATATATATATATATATATATATATATATATATATATATATATATATATCTACTATTAATGGAGAGTCTGTTGGTTTCACTTTCATCACTTGCACCCCTTCTATCAATACATGTCTCGTCTCACTGATTTATTTTTTCAAACCACGCGATAACCCCTATTTTTTTAAATTCAAATCAACCCGCACCTCATCGTTTCTGGAGAAAGAAATCCTTCACAAAGCAATCAACAGAAATCAAATAAATTGCCAGTATCAAGAAATGCCTTGCAACCAAACAACAAAATCAACTAAGGTAGTTGTACGGAAAAAAATTATATGAGACCAGGTCTCATATAAACCAGGTGAGACCCGCCCTGATGGATGACATGTGACATTCACAAATCACAAAGCATCTAATCTCTCCCCCCTGATTTTAGGTGAGGGGTGGGGTAGATGCTTTGTGATTTGTGAATGCCACGTGTCATCCATCAGGATGAGTCTCACCTGCTAACCTGTGAGACCTGGTCTCATCGAATTTTTTTTTCGTAGTTGTACGTGCAAAATCTCAATCACATCATATCTCCTACCTTTGCATATGGATTTCCTCCCCTCAGCATATCTCGTTCTCAACCCAATAAATTTTTCCCCTTGCTGAACCACTATAATAAACATGCAACCATTGCAACACATGGGTATTTAGCTAGTCTTGCCTAATTGCTGAGCTAATTTGTGAAGATTCGACCAATACGAAGGTTTACATACCACATGTCATGCTAATCCATTTCTTTCCAGTATAAGGAATTTTCTTTTTGACAGAAGCTTGAATATATACTATTTTGAAATTTAGTTTGGGGTTATTGAATTGTGTTCTGTTGAACAAAATTTATATTTTCTGCTGAAAATAGCCAAAATTTTGAGGTAAAAAATGTTGTGCAAATGGTAAAGTAGACATATTAAGCTGGTTGGATAAACGGGATATTCATAATTTTTGGCAATGCCAAATGGAGCCCAAGTCAAATCGTCTTTCCTTACTTAATTACTTTCCAGCAAAACAGAAAAGACAGTCCTATGCCGATTTGAATGCAGTACCACATGCCAAAATTAATTATTATCATTTCTAAATCTCTAACCTTGACAATATATGACTATATTTGTCAGTGTATGTTGTTCTCTTGACCAATCTGAACCCCTTGTAATGGTTGGTTTATTTATTCCATATATAAAGAAAAGTGCCTTAAATAATGATGCTGATGTGTTCCATTTTCAAATTATGAAACCCTTGCAGCCTATAACTGAATCTGCAGGTCGCATATATGTTTTAACAATCGTATAATAATCCATCAGAAAGATCGACTGAAATGTTAAGCATATGTAGCACACTGATTTCAGAGGTCAGACTAAATAACAACAAAAACCACAAGCACACAGATCATAGATAAAAACTCCAACAAGAATAACATATGCAACTCATTCAACCCCCTATCACATGCATGCATATATATATACTATGCTTCAAGTACCAGGAATACAGAAGAACACATGGAAATAAACAGCTATCCCTCGTGCATGACAGGACAGAAGTACTCAGAAATCCATGAGACAACCACAAGCCACATGCATCCAGCATCAAACACTGGCTGCATCGTACATGCATGCATATGCTTGCGATCCTCATGTGGTGCGAGGCAAAGGCACTGTGCCATCCCCTCAATCGTTGCATGCAACTTGTCATGCACCGTTCACATCAAACCCAGTACCAGTAGTTGTACCCGATCACTGCCTTTCGGTACCATAAAAAGGAAACGGAATAGGAAGCAAAACAAGAAACAATAAGCGATTCTAGATCGAGTTGACACATGATGCGCAGACCGCAGAACGGACACTGCACTACAGACTTACAATCTTGCACGAACCACACACACACACATGCAGCTAGCTGTAGCAAGAGAGATCTCCATACATGTATCTCTCTCTCTCTCTCCCTGCATGCATGTCCCCCTCACTTCACTTCACACTACAGCAAATCATTTTACTTGACTCGATCCTACATGGAAGCAAATTAAACTAGTGATAAACTCGACTAGAACTTAACCCTAGCTAATCAAAGCCAACTAGGTCGAAACACGAGCAATGCAGCAGTGTTCGACGACGACAACTGACAGTACTAGCTGATACACACACGCACAAATGAGAAGTGCAAAGCCATAACCATGCGTGCGCATGCATGCATACGCGAGCGCACATAAAATATATCTGGCATACCGGCCAAATAGGAGATCGATCGATCGACCACCGGCTGGGGGCGGCTCGTCGTCGTCGCGTCTATCAGCTCAGCAACCGGCGGCGGGAGGCGGGCCGGGAGGGGGCTGGTGATGGTTGCCGTGGAAGCTGCCGCTGCTGCTGTCGCCGGCCAGCTGCTGCGGCTTCTTGCGCTTCTTCTTCTCGTAGCTGACGCCGCGGGCGCGGGCCTGGTGCTCGCGGACCTCGCGAAGGTAGAGGCGGACGGCGCGCGCCGCGAAGGGGTTGGACTCGGGGCTGCCGCCGTTCTCCTCGTAGGCGGCGCGGAGGCGGCCGACGAGGGCGTCCAGGCTGCCCCAGGCCTGACGGAGCGGGCACGGGCAGGGTGCCGGCGGGCTAGGGTGGCCGAAGAAGGGGCAGGCCGAGGCGTGCACCTTGGTCTTGCCGAACTGGTCAAGGTAGCGCAGGAACTCCAGGACGTGCGCCCCGCTGCACTGAGCCAGGCTCAGCGGCGGCCGGTGGTTCCGCAGGTACTGCCCGAACGTGTTCCAGTCGCGCCGCTTCTGCGCCTCGTACCTGCTCGGCGACTGCGGGTGCGGAGTGCCCCCTGAGGCCACGGAAAGCGAGGAGGTGATGCTGCTCGAGGAGCCGCCACCGTTGCCCCCTCCAGACAGAGGGCTGTCCGGGTTCGCCGACAGGTCCATGGATCAGCTGCTGAGCAGGAAAAGGAAGGAAGCAGACTCAAGCAAGTGTGACTGTGATCTGAAACTATTTTCTATTAAATTAACTTCTGTAGGGCTTTCCCTTACACTTCTCTTTGCTTAAACAAATGAATAAACTACAACTTGCTATTGGAAAAGAAATAGCACTGTTCCTACATTTCCAGAACCATGATGAGGTCAATGATTACATGTGTGCATATATACTTGAGCTAGCGATCTGTTTGGGAGCAGCTGGTTCTCTCACCATTCGCCACTGCAATTGATGCTTTTAACTTTCTATATAAGCAGTAGATGCAGAAATATTTAGGACGAACAAGAACCTGGAGATCTTTCAGGAAAGGAAATTTTTGGAATCACCTTCGGTGGTGTTGGAAGCTGATCTTGGTTTGGCGCTCTCGGAATTACAGGGCAAAGCCAAATGGTGATGGAGGTTGGCTTGAGAGTCTGCGCGAAGATAGAAAACATCAGAGGACACATACAAGAAAAAGAGAAAGGTTAATTTGGGAGAGCGATCTGGAAAAGCTCATATCTGTTGCTTCTTACTCGGTGGTGGTGGTAGCCAGCAACAGCCAACAGTTGCTTGTGCTGGCTCTCATAGGTCCATCTGGTGATTGGGAAGATGCTGGGAGAGCAGCAGCTTCATCATCTGTTTGTGATGGTGTGGGGGAATTGTATGCTGCTGCCTCTATTTTTAGGGGGGGATGCCGGGGGTGGTGGATGTATTGTTTGGCCTAAAAAGGGGAGATGTGAAATGACTGAGACATGGAGTACACAGTAGTGACCAGTGAGAGAGTGGATGAGATGCACTGCTAGTACTGCTAGGGCTTTTAGGTGCTGAAGGGTGGAGCAGGGACACCGAGTGAGATGAAAGGTGACATGACAAAAGTAAATATTTTTTTAATTGATAGGTCGGTGTACGGCCTAATGGGGGTGTCGACCTGTTTCTAACTGGTAGTCATTTGATGTCACCGGTCGAAAGTTTCACAATCATACCAACTTGGCAACAAAATATCTAGTAAGCAAATGGGTTCCTTTATTGTACGTTCAAACAGTCTAAACCCATTACTTTCACCATTATATTGTATGTACTAATTAATATAATACTCCTTCTGTTTCACAAATGTAAGACGTTTTGGCAGTTTGAACAGTGGGAGTACATGTTTACGAGACCGGATACTTCACATTACTACGAAGTATGTATTGTAACAAAGTAAGACGTTTAGGCAGTTTATAACCAAAACGTCTAACATTTGTGAACACAGGGAGTATATGTTTACGAGATCAAATACTTACTATGAAGTATGTATTGTGACAAAGCAAATAAATTATTCGATATTGTTCTGATAAGTGTTGATCCTGGTATTCACAGAAACGGGCTAATAAAAAAGAAGTGGTGTTTCTGGAATACCATAACATGGCCACCAAATCAAAGATTTATCATTCCCTGTTGCACTCTCCAATATATATAATCTAGGCATGTCATTCCATGCGCCATCGTCCACTAGAATTAGGGTTTATTTGACCTGATTTTGGCAGTTTGAAGGAGTAGGTTGGACTAGGATGGACAGTTTCCAATTGCAAGTGTGCAATATGGCCGGACTTTCGCCTTGTGAAAACAATATGCAGGACATACATATATGCCTTGGTATAATTAAGCCTTGATGCATTGCATACTCATATCCGAGTGACATTCAGTAATATGGTTAAAAAAATAAATATTCTTCATGATGAACTACATGGAAAATAGAGACTATGCAACACAGGTGGCTAGGAGTCACATGCAAAAAAGATATCGATCACATGGTCCACGCTCAATTCTTCATTGGATGATACCTTTAAATTTATATTTATGGTTTTCTTTCTATTTTTCAGATTATCTTAACTTTCACTCAATTTTGCTAGTGTTTTATCGAGATGTAATTTGTATCGGACTAAAGCGTTAAGGGCCTCTTTGATATACATGATTTCTAATATGTAAAAATATGAAGAAAAAAAAGATAGAATGTAATATGATGCCCACTTGAATTGTTGAATATGTAACAATGTTTTTTTGGTTGCACAATAGGAAAAACAAAGAATTCTTCCAAATGCGTTTGAGTAAATAAAATTTATCTTCTGAAAAGTAGTGCTACGGAATCTTTTCATCCCCTAAAAAAAGGAATCTTTTCATTACAAAATTTCTAATATTTTTCAAGGATTCCAATTTTTGAAATTCGTATACGAGAAAACTTTGAATCAAAGAGACCTTAACAAGGAACATAGAAATCAGTTGCATATAAACTTTCTCTTATATTTTCAAGCTAGCCATGCATGCATATAGTGACAATCACATAATCCAAAGTTCAATTCTTCTGCGGGTAATATTAGGTTCATGTATGCATCTATGCACAATCATATGTAGTTAATTAATTGGTTCATCAAGAAAGATCATGGCCCTGAAAATGTTAGCCGACATGGAGTACAAAAGGACTCCTAAAATTGGAGACAAGTTGTGTGCAAAGACAAATTTCCTTCTTATTTATTTGCTTGGCAAATTGTCCCACAGGGTCCATATATATTGTATTTTAATACATCTGCTACGGTGCTCATATGCATGTCAATTTCTTTGGAAGATGGATAATTTGCTGGTTATAGGGGGTGGTTTTTGTTGTTGTTTGCGTAAGTCGTCCCACATGGTTATATTTTATGTAATGAATGTTTTAACGTTTATTTACTTTGCTTTGGTGAATTAACATTTCTCTATATACTATATAACTACAAGAATATATGTGTTCATTTTGATGGTGACCGATGAAATCGAATACTAGTCAATTTTAGACTTTAATGTATATTTAATTTGTCGCTGCAAAGGGGTTACTAATTTCATTATTGTCATTTCTATCTTATCGAGCTGACTAACTAGATGATGAAGTCTTTTCAAACTTTACACCAAAAGGTTACCTAGGACTTTTCATTTTCGTAAGAGAGCGCGGCTTAAATGGCAAGCCTTACATATAATTGAATGCATAACTAGGGGTACACTTCGAGTACACGGATAATTTTTTCCGCTGCAATGATTATTTGCGACGCATTTTGTTAAAGTTAGCTAGCACACAAATAGTGCAGCTACAACTTAGGCTTGGTTAAACAGTGCTTTTGTTGATTGTGAGGCATGCTATTCGGTTCTCAATATTGTAGCTTGATATTTTATATATAATTTCACTGTTTTCACCTTTGAGAGAAACACTGAGTACAACTTGCAGATAACACTTGAACACTGAATTACACCATGCTTGCTGGAAATGAATTTCTCACGGATGTCTCTCTGAATACAGATCCTTAAGGTTTTATTTGCAATTTTAAGATTTGTCAGAGCTGTCTTTTGCTTTACTTGCACACCTTTTTTTTTGCTCAAGTAACCACGCCGGGGCACAGTATACTGGGTCAAAATTATTTTCTTTGTTATATTTCCTGTTTCATATAGTCTGTGACACTCAGAATTTAGTGATGAATATGTGTAGCCAGATTATCTTCGCTCTATGTCCGTGCCCTGCAATTGACAATATGATTTCAAGTGACAACCTGTTACGTTCTGCGTATGGGCAATTGGCAGCTAAGATTAAGGCTCTCATGGTAGACAAGGAGTTTGTTCCTCGGAAGATTAGTCGTTCACAAAATAGGGTAGCAGACCGGTTGGCTTTTTATAGCTATACGAAGTCGTGTATGTATGTATGGTTGCATGGTGGACCTCCATGTATCGAGGACCTCGTGCCTCTCGATTGTAACCCTATCCCTCTGGAACAAACCCCTTTCACCTAAAAAAAGACAATATGATTTCAAGTGCAACTTTGAGATTGCACACCCGCAATTAATACCAACAACACGTGCTCCTCTTCGTAAATCTCAAGATGATATGCCGGCTCAGTCTCTCGGAGGTGTTCATAGGTGTAGGGTGCGTGTGTGCGTTCATAGAGATGAGTGTTTGCGCGTATGTATGAGCGCTTGCGTCTGTACCGTGTTAAAAAAACACATGCTCCTGGCTACATATTGGTTTTCACCTCTTCCTTCTATATGAATAGGCAGTGCTTCTGTCGGTTGCTCCGGAAAAAAATACCAATGGCACGTGAATGCTATTTTCTTCCATGCATTTCTTTTTCTGTTGTCGTAATCCATTTAAACAACAACACTAGTGAAACGGTTCAAACGCAAAAAGATGCACCGCGGATGAATAAGCAGTTGCTGTGCTGCGCTGTGCACCACAGAAACAAGCAGGCGCTAGCAGCTCTGCATGTCACGACGACACGAGACTGTCTAACCAAAACGAAAGTAAAAGGAAAATAGCGTCGAATTTATTCTTACATGATTCGATCGGGCCGGGACTGATGTGTCCACTCCTCTTGGGACTTGCCTCCATCATGTACGAATTAATTCCTCTCGTACATTCTTCCGCAGTGCTCTGATGGACTATCTATATATGATCAAGTTGGGGCCTAGCTAGTGGCTAGTACAGAACGCCTGTGCATCTCTACTGTACGTGGCGTGATCGGTGCTAGGTCTAAATTCCATGCAAACATGCATTGGCTAAATTATTTCTCACATGTTCGTTCTTGCAAGGGAAGAAAGCACTCCTGTATACACCGGAATAGTGTTAAGAACATAGTAAGCATGAACCAACCTGTGGTTGGATGGTTAGGAGGATAGTGGTATCACAACCCATCAAGGTACAAAACTTGGTGTTTGCATTATTTTCGGATTTATTTATGGATTTCCAGCGATACACATAAGGAGACGTTTTCGTCGATCATGAGACGCTTATGGTGACTTCGTCAATCTCAAGATGATATGCCGGTTCACTCTCTCGAAGATGCACATAGAGATAGGGTTTGCATATGTGTATGCATAGGAATGAGTGTGTGAACGTATGTATCCACAATTTAATCAATCACATATGTTGCCATCAAAAAGACTTGTTAATTTATTAATCCCATCAACATGAATGATAT